TTGTGTGCGTATTGCCTGCTGCTTTCTGCTGTTTAATTTGCAGCGAGTCATTCATGGGCCGCCCTCAACTCAGATAAAATGTGTTTGTTTCTATTTCGCCCTAGCCCTGGTCAATTTCCTGTAATATATTGTCAGGCAAATTAAATCCCCGTACCCGGACTTTATACAAACATAAAACTTAGGCTGTTAATAGCCTTGATGAATTGGAGATGTCAAGGAATGCCCTCTCTTAATAATTTGAAAACAATGAAAACACCCATACTTGCAATACATACAATTTACAATTTCGCTTACACACAGATAGCATGGACACTACACATCTCTGCGAACAATACAATTTACCGACACAAAAACAGGCAACTGGCGCATTATTCCAAAGTACAGGCAACAAAAAGCAAATACTTATGTTAAATTTAGATATATTGATGCAGTATGGATATGGAGGCGGTACAAGGGTGTTCTTTTGTGTTAAAAAGTGTCAAAATGTATTTTTGTAAAACATATTGCACCCTAGGAAAGACGTTTTCCCAATAATCATCTCCTTTTCAGCAAAACATATTAGAAAGAGCCAATCTTAGCATAGTAATCAACTCATTTGATTTGTCACATCTTGCGTAAAATGCTCCAGGAGGTCTGTTAACCATGGGGTCTAGAGGAGCCGGTACCCCGGGTGTAGCCCAGGTGTTCGGCAAGTTTGCTATCTAGATCGGTACGCAACCTTTGCGCTTCTCATTAGTTATAAATACGTACAATGCGCTGTCCTGTTGCAATACGAACGGTACTAATGCGCTGTAAGTACGCAATGCATCCGTCCATTGTACGCAGCTTATGCACAGGTGCAGTTCCAGGTGCAGATCAGCGTATGGGCCGCGTGTCCCCCACGAACAGATAGCGTACTCATACCGTGTTTGACCGATGCATTACATATTAAAAACGCATGAACTGCGTAACAGCGTACGCAGCGTAGTTTTGGGCATGCTCAAAACTACGCTGCGTACTGAGCAGGGCGGTGCGTGCGCTGTGCGCATGCCGGCGTTCACAAAACTTACACAAAACGACTGAGATGCATATGAAGTGCGCAGTTTGCGTACAGCTGCGTATGAAAAAAAATGCCCGTACGCAACCCATACGCAAGTCTATTCGCAGAAGTGTGACAGGGCCCTAAAGTGCATGTAAAAATTTTTCTACGTGCGGTCTGCGGATTCACTACCCGTTCGTGCGAGTACGCGCGACGCGCGTACCCCGTACGTACCGTACGTAAGACGCACGTGTGAGTACGACCTCCTTACGGTAAAGTTGAAATCGTACAGAGATCGTACGTTGTAAGCACGTACAACTCACTTACCACTTGCGCAACGTACGATGCACGCAACCGCTCACGGCCAGACGTAGCGTGCAGACAACGCTCTTACACCTTGCGCAACCGTGCGAGTGACGTGCGTCGACGCCACTCCTTCCCCACGTTTTCAGAAAAAAAAACGTAGCAGACGTGGCCTCCCATAAAAACGTACGGACAAAAAGCACGTACGGCGGGTTGTGACCAAGGCTTAAAACACGCCAAAAATAAGCCGAAGCCTAAACATCTGCTCGGAGAGTACGGTAGATATTACAAAACGTGCTTAACCATATGACTCACATGGGATTATAAAACGTCAGTGGCACTACAGGTACTCGCCACATAGCTACATGTAAACGTAGCCAACGTATGAACATTTGCAAGTGGATGGTTATTAATCTCCAAGCAGATCCCTTTCGGTGGTAAAAAGACAGTATCAAATTGCCAGGCAGTATCCATTAGCCAGAGAAGGTCGGCAACCACCGATGGTTGGTGGGGATAGCGACAAAACAAACGGCCATATATAAAAAGGTAACGATCATTCCTCCACAACCTCTGGTTGGAGAGTAGATGGTTATTAAAACAAATAAAGAACATATACTATTACAAACATGGCGATAATAATACACAGTAATTTGATGTTTATTTTACACAAAATATCTTGAAGCATCTAGTTTCTACAAGTTATTCACAGCCGTACTTAGAAATGAGTAACTCTTTTTTATATTTCCCGACCATTGGAAACACTAGTGTTAGTCTAGTTTTGTTTTTTATCTGGCCGTAACCAACATCCGTCGCCACCGAGACACGCCTGACTTCCGCAGAGCCTCGCACACAATGGCGGAGAGCTCGCTGAAGAGCCTCTCTTCTCGATGACTGGACAGCGCCGATGTACTCAGACCTCCTAGTCGCCATGACAGCGATGTTGACGAAAGTGTTTTCGTGTTTTAGGCTGATTGTGGCCCGGCCACGCGACCACTGAGCGCTGGTCATGCATGACATTTTTGTGCCAGGTCATCGACAGCGAACTGCACAAAGCACAGCGCGTACTCAGCTCGCGTAGGCAGTTCTCAGCCTGTTCCTCTAGATTCCGCGGGTTGAAGCCATGTGAATTCCTGTGCACATCGTTACCGTATCAGTGCAGGAGACAACGTATTGAGGAGATGTGAACCTAGGGAGAGTTTCAAGGGGACTTTTCCGGACTTTGCGGTTTTGCGATTCTTTTTTATTACAACGTTTTCGTGGACAGGGCACCATTGCATGTGGATTACATCATAGTACGTGCATCACTGCTGTTGTCATCTACCAAGTTTGGGAAACTGAAGAAAGTAAACGAGGAACTTTTTTGAAGGTAAGGATGGAGAAAATCCATATCTTTTGGCAGAATGAATTAACTCAATTTAGGTTGCTCAGTTTGATAGTCTACTGGCCTTATTGTGATTTTTGTGGACTCGGATGCTTTCCTTTATTGGCTAGACCAGGGAACGAATCCGACAGAGCAACTGTACCTACCAGCCTACTTCATAATAGTAAAATTTTGGTCAAATAATAAAGTAGTCACAAAATACGTTCTTTTTCAGTTTACACACAAGCTGTGATCATTTGTAACCGTCCTTGAGTATCAGCGTAAGTCTAATGGATGAAGTAACTATTTTCTTTTATATTTCTTGCTTAGATGAAACAAACTTCATCCCATGAAGAGCATTTAGAATTCCTGACGTTGCGGTTGAATTTCTTTACATCAAAGCTTCAGTGTTAGATATATCAGATATCACAAATCTCTTGTGCTCTTTCGTATTCGATATATCAAGAAGCCTTCATACATAGAATGTCCTTGGATATATCTGCCATTTTTGAGTAACTGGAGTCCCCTTCACCCAGGGGCTGCCATATTGAATTACTCCATCGAACCCCCCTACAGGAACTATGAGATTGTTGTGTGCCTCTGCTCGGTTTTTAACCACAGGAGAAGGCTTGGCGTGTTGTCACGTCACCCGAAGCACATTTAACGAAGTACCCCTCTTCAAAAGAAACGAGTCTATTCCAAGCTGTTCAACTGCCTCCTTTTATGGTAGCGATAAGTGGGAAAAACACAGTCAGCATCGTTGAGTATATCCTGGACTGTGGGGGAGTATTATATCACACTCGAGATGTCAACTGACGGATACATGTGGATTCATTTGCATCAAATCGGTCGATAGAAAGTTTCGCATCAACAATTACGGTGTGATTTTTGGGACGTAGAGTTTTTGCAACAAATTGAAGGGTTGAACAATACGAAAAATAAGCAGTGATAAATGGTGTAGAAAGTGGTGAGGACTTTAGCTATGGCTTTGATCGTAAATTGGTCGAGGCTGAAGTCAAACAGACGCATTTGTGTTCGGCTGTTTTCTCAGACAACACCTTTTCAAGACCCCTGTGTTGCCGGGACAGGCGTGTTAGCCAGTTAAACTCTCTGATATGTTTGAACGGGTCTTGAAGTGCTCATGCTATGCAAGGAAACAAGACGTGTCATGGCGCCCTGCCTTGCATGACGCTATTTGGTTGCAAACGGCATGGAGGTTTTTATGTTGGTACAAACTTACTCCGGACAGACTGCTTGTCACTCCTTTTTGTGTTGCAGTGCACCGCAGCCGCCCACCAGTCAAAAACTAGCGTGGTATGGCCGCTAGCATGTTGGAAGGGTTGCATTTGGTATTACAAAGACTTTACAGGCACACAAATTACTAGTTTTCCAGTAGGTTATTACACCGTTCGCTACTAAGTGAAAAAAAGGCCAGCAAAAAGCTATCGACATTACAAGTCACGAATAAGGGTGTAATCAGAAATGAGACTAAGCTGTTTTTGGATCCGGTACCTGTACAATGATTATGTATATTTTGAACATGGGTATATGGAGCGTATTGTAATATTTGCAACCATGATAAATTGTTGTATGTCATGAAAGTTCATTTGTGTTGGTAGTTACATGTTTAAAGTTAAAACTTTTGGTCCAACAGAAATTGTTGTATGTTTTAAGGCAACAAACGATGATGCTTTGCCTCGTTGCAAGAAACGTTGCAGACGAATTGCTTCATACGAACATTCAGATCCAAGAGGAGCAAGGTGTTAGGCACAGCAAGGTTACAGTTACAGTGATATCATTGATCGATGATATTAGCATGCATGTGCCTACTGGTATTTCCTAGCCATGGTTCTGCCCTAGATGGCTTGATTTTAAACCAGTTAACGTTGTGTTTCACACGTATACGACTTGGTTGCTCAAAGTAACGAATGTTTTATTGTTCGCAGATTGAAGCCAACTTTCCAACGAGGGTACCATATTAGCTACGAGAACCCGAGAGACTGTGTGTAAAGTTGTGATGACTTCCAGTACCATGCCTCGGTCGTTACGGATCTCCACAGTGTACCTGTTACTGGGTATGCTCAAAGTAACGAATGTTTTATTGTTCACAGATTAAAGTCAACTTCCCAACGAGCAAAGAGTACCAGATTCGCTAATAGAAACCGAGAGACTGTGTGTAAAGTTGTGATGACTTCCAGCACCATGCCTCGCTCGTTACGGATCTCCACAGTGTACCTGTTACTGGGTATGCTCAAAGTAACGAATGTTTTATTATTCACAGATTAAAGCCAACTTCCCAACGAGGAGAGGGTACCAGATTCGCTAATAGAAAAGAGAGACTGTGTGTAAAGTTGTGATGACTTCCAGTACCATGCCTCGGTCGTTACGGATCTCCACAGTGTACCTGTTACTGGGTATGCTACTGCTGATGATGGTGGGAGTCAGTGAGGCTGTGGACGCTTGTGACGTCTGTGACTGCAGCGATCCTACCAACATCGACTGTCAGGACTTAGAACTGACGGAAGTGCCGACCAATTTTCCACGGGAAGCGCAGTCAGTGTATGTAGATCATCAATGTTTATCAATTTCACTCCTGGTAAAGATCCACTATGTAATATTTTTGCACCAAGTATGGGAATGCATTATTTGAAAATATTCGAGTGATTCGAGTAATTTTACTTCCACTTTTCAACATATATGTTCAATTGTCTGATATTTTGACACCGTGTTTGGGGAGAGCCACACCCCACGCACGTTGAAGATCCCACCGCACTTATCGAAAAGAGGAGGGGACCTTCCCGGTGTGAGTGGTTCAAATTTATTCTCACAGTCCGGTCTTACGCAGCTTGTACATGTACGTACATATACAAAACTGGTGTGTTACGCCTAAAGGCGGTTTACCGGTTATGCGAAACAAACAAACAAAACACTCGTAACAGTGAATCATAGAAAAAACATACACCACACTTTCCACGAAGACTCGAGAGTGACGTAGAAGTGGCACAGAAAAACCTTGACGAAAGTATGTTTTGCCCCCTACCATTGATCCCCTTCCCATACAAATTCTGACAACTTTATCCCCCATGCTTTTCGTGAAAAAGACCACGTGAGCTCTGTCTGTTTAAGGATCAAGCTCTGCGTGAGACGCATCAAAAGATACTGATGTCTCAGGGATGACCTACGTCACGACAGGGGATTTTAAAGCAAGTCATCCTAAAGACGTATTCACCGCAGAAATGTTGTTCTTGTGGTGGGTAGAAGCGGCTCAAGTCCTAACTAGCCTGGATGTCAGACCCCGACACGACGCAATACTCCCTTCGGCTGGGGGAAGCCACAAGCCCCGATCCCAGAGTTAGAACCTGGGGGTCTAACTTATCTCTAGGAAGTCGTGTGGCGTAGTGCCAGCGTGCTCGACTCGGAACCAAGAGGTCCGGGTTCGAGTCTTGACTTGACACCGATCTTGTGCCCTTGGAAAAGGCACTTTACACGACTTTCCTCACTTAACTCAAGCGAAAATGAGTACTGTCTTGTCCTGTATCTGTCCTCTGCGTTGGTGGCGGCATAAAATAAGTTGATATAACTTGAGTGTGCTGTCACCACGTCTAGTCATGAAATGTTGGAATATAAAAAACTTATCTGTCGAGAATAATATCTGAGGGAGTGTCTATGGTAAAATTTTCGGAGCCGAGGAGCTAGTATGCATACTGCCCCAGGCAACAGTCTGGCGCCCAGGCTAGACCTAACAAGCCTTCATGATACTTTTACCCTAAAAGCCCCTGATTCTTTTGTTTTGGTCACTGGTGTGTTGGAGGTGTCAGTATGATGGAAGCCACACCATAGTCTAACCCCGACCTTCTAGACCTTTGTTTGCACATGGGCTTATAACGTGGTGTCTAGTAGCCAGACTTTTACAGTTCTAAATGCCAAAAGTTCGCTCAACTAAATCAGCTGAAACAACTTTTACCTCGGATAGACAAAACAAAACATACTCAGAATTCGTTCAGTGAAATTGAAGCTGTCATTTTTTGTCGATGTATCAATGTATATTGCTAAAATTGCTATTATTTTTCTTTGTCTTTCAGAATATTGAGCAACAATAGGATATCTAGGGTACCGTTAAACGCCTTTGTCGACTTGGGAGATCTAGTCTTTTTGTAAGTATTTCAGTACAGTGTGGTTGTGCTATATCATTACAGTATATGGTCATAAGATATACCTTTTGCTATGACTGTACGTATTTTCATACATACATATTGACATATACTGAGCACGAATACAATTACAGTACATGATGTTTCAAAGTATTTATGCTTTTCATAAAACATTCAAATATTACGATTCAATCTTGTAGCTAGATAATATTACGGAAGTACAACTTTATTAGAATGATTGGTGTGAATATGAATCCAAACATTTTATGTCAACATGCTGTACACTTTAAAAAACAAAATTATTGGTGCAATGTTCAATGTTATTTACATATTACTTTATAACTCATCTTAATCTACAAGCAGATCTTTTGGCTGCAAAAGTATCAAATTGGCAAAACAGTATGAAATAAATTGCCAAGGCAGTATGAAATTCACAAAACAGTAGCCGACTGGCAACACAGTAGAAAATTGGTAAGGCAGCGACAAGGTGGCAAAAAAGCATCAAACTGGAATGATAGTATCCACTTGCCTGGAATCCAAAATATGCCAGTACAAAAAAGAAAGCCCGATAAAACGACAAACACTTCGAAACAGCCTAAATCTCTGCTTGAAGATTTAAATCTTCTGTCACAATGCTGGTGTTCTGAAGCCTGTCTAACCGTGATGTTCCCTATTTTCGAGCTTTTTTTCAACAGGTAACATGAAGAGACCCTCACTGTGATTCCCTCTGTTCATTGCTCTGGTGATGACTGTCTTCTCTGTTTCTCAGATACTTACATTCAAACGCTCTCACAAACCTGGAGGAAGGAACTTTTGACAACATTCCTAATTTAATTGAAGTGTGAGTGATGGTAGCGATTCATTCTTCCTGTCGTACAATTTCTGTCCGGAACAGACCTTAGCTTTTCTATCATAATATTATCTTTTTTTTCTTAAAAGTTTATCTGTGTTAGTCGACGTCTTGCCTGGGTACCATCCGTATTTGTTACATAGCTCTGCTAAAAATTCATAACAAATTACGGATGGTACCGGGGCTAGTAGAAGCCATCATGAAGTAAATTTGAACTGTAATTTACAACAAAAGAAATTGGACTAAATCAAATTTTCGACTGTGCGACTCCAGTCATTGTCAAGCTCCAAACAGTTCAAAGTTGCTTCATGAAATATACTTTTCTAGTCAAAACATTTATTAGTAGTAGCCGTACTAATGATATATAGAGGTAGCATTTTACAGTTATCTTTCATTTATGCTATGATGAACGGTTTAGGTATGGTATACGTTCGGTGAGATAACCAACTTTCTGCGAATCTGTAGCCTGGTGTCCAGCCTTATCGTGGTAGGGGCGGGTTCTCCTCGGGGCTCCAGGAGCTCTTTCCCGCCCGCCTCAGCTAGGTTTCCCGGTGGGTATTTCACGATGGTAGGGCAAATCAACTCCCCTGGCGTGCCATCTCTATTAGCGTTACACTCCTACCGGGGGGGCTGTTGGTACTGGGCGGGAGGAAACTATTAGACAACCCGAAGATCTAGACACCGCCTGCCCCAACTACCATGCCCCAAGCACGATAAGACTGGATACCAGGTCAGAGAATCTGATGTGTAACGCCGAATACTAGTTGACCTATTCAATGACATGTTCTGGTTGAAATAGACAGATCAGTTAGATCTCTGTGCGTCCCTTTAATGCATTTTTTTTTAGTTTTCTCTTCAAATTTTTTGAAACACTATATTACAAATAGTATTTAGGAAGTCATCAGAACAATAGCATCCAGTGATATTCTAGTGAACGACATATTACAGTATGTAATAGTTGAGAATTGTTAGCAATTTCCTCTCTTTCTGAGAAAAGTAACACATGAAATTTGACCAGGAAATATGTTATTTTTAACTCTATGCCCCCCCCCCCCACACACACACACGCAGATACATGAGGGACAATCCGTTCCAGTGCGACTGTAACTTACAGTGGCTAGCGAGCTGGGTTCAGGACGGGAGCGGACGGGACATTCTGAAGGACAACCCGCAGTGTCTGTCACCAGATAGCCTGAACGGACAGAGCCTGACCAGCGTTAACGTGTGGGACATGGTCTGTCCTACCACCACCCCACCTCCTGTCACTGGTAAGAGACAATATTATTATGATGTTATCGTTGGTCTGAATGATAAATGCAGTATAATGTGCTAGATAAAGCAGAAAAATTCGTATTCCTTCTGAAACTTGACAAACCATGTATCATTAGCTCCGTATGTTCGTACATCTTTAACTGCCTCAAGAAGCGAGAAGAAGTCCTTTTATTCATCAAAACATGAAAACACAACAATGACAGTGTGACGCTGCACTCAAGTTTATAACTTATTATCAACAGCGCAACACAACAAAAAAAGTACAATTAACATTTAAATACACAAAGTTGACATATCTGTGCGCCGTAGTCCCACCACCCTAAGACATAAAAAAATTTGAGAAGTTGAACCTGTGAATAGTAGTTCACATTAGTATAGTTCAAGTAAGTTATTGTTGTAATTATTTGCCGTTTATTCATGACCTGTAGTTAGCTTGTAAGAGCATAAACGTACAATAAAGGTCCTGCATTAATGCAAATATTCAGAGGCGACCACAGAAGCCCCGGCCACGCCTGCGCTGGCCACCTGGTGTCCGGAGGAAGAGAGTGTCCTGGTCAGCTGGCCCAGGACCTACATCGACACACAAGCTCGGGTGGCCTGTCCGGAGGGAGACGGGACCGCCATTAGGGACTGGTGGGTTCCAATCTTCTACTTTTGTCATTCTCACTTGAGGTGAAGCATGAACCTTTCTTTCCTGAAGTTTTTGTTTGTTTAGGATCTCAATGAGAGCTGCCCGTGTGTCATGTTGTTCGGATATAGTTGAAACTAAAAACATATTTGAAGCATTATAAGCTTGAATATGCTGCTCCTTGTTCTTTCTTATGAGCAAGAAAATTTGTTCTCTCATGATAGAAGAAAACATATTTGAAATATCAATAAAGACAATCATTAATATTCTGTGTGCAAAAAGCCACAGTTTGCCCGAAGAGGTGCATTTTACATGCATGGTAACATAGGCCTTTCCTGCTTGGTCCGATTGCGATGACCACAAGGTCGAAGGCTACCACAAAACCCTAGGGAATGCATTCGTGCAATTTTTAAAAAAATCTTTCAAAGCGATCGTAGTACTGTAAAAATGCCTCCGCACCTAAGGCGTCGCCAAAAACATTTTTTTGCATCACAGGGGTAGTTTAGGGATGAAGTAGATATGCAAATTTCTAACTGCTGTGGCAACACAAAAATTTGCCGTACTATGGTAAAAAGGAGGAAGTACATATCCGGGTACTCCAGCCATCACTAAACAGAGACGGTGGACGATATAAACTGCCTGGCACGTTTGACCAATCGCTGACGTCACGTATCCGTAAAGTCTCGTGAGAATAAGATCACGTGTCCGTAATTCGCGCGGATTCACGTTCAGAAGCATTTCTTATTCTGCTGAAGGCGACTGTGATCGTTGAAAATGTGTACCTTTTTTTGGAATAAAGTTTAGCATCACAATATAATTGCCATACCTAACCTGCTCTAAATAATTGCACGGTTATTACAGTGTCTGGATCTTTGGAGAAGGAGCCTCCTGGGGCACACCGAACATGACAACCTGCTTCTCCAACAGGGTGACCCAGCGTTTGAGTGAGCTGGCGTACTTGCAACCGGAAAGAGGTACACCAGATTCTGTTTAAAACAGAGGGAAGAAATATGTCTAGTAGAGACATCGCTAATGCATAGTTATCTACACATTGACGTTTTGTACAACCCCCTATTCTCCAAGAAGAGGTGTATAGGCGTGGGCTAATTTTTAGCGTTGTATCTTGGCGTTTTTACCGGGCTTTCTTTTTGCATTGTGTCTTTCCAGTCATTATGGCGAAATTTAAATTGTAATTTCCAACGCAAGAAATTTGAATTGCCCAAAGTTTTGACTGTACAACTCCAGTCTTTGTCTGGTGCTTTGTCAAGAAAAAATTCTGGTCTAAAATACTTATTTTATCCAATGAGACCGAGTGTCCAGACATTTCTATATGATTATGTTGTGAGACTTCCAAAGTAGTCAAGCTAGGTCGTTTGTGTTCTAAGACCCTAGCCTTTTAATGAGTCTTGTTCTTCCTACGCCCATGAACAATTGCTCTGTCTAAACTGATGTCCACTTCTGCACCACAGTACTGGACAGTATAGACGAGCTACAGACGTGGACGTCCTGGTCTGACCAGTTCACGCTGGTGGACACTGTCCTGGCCGCTAAGACCCTGTCCAGTATCTCCGCTGCCCAGTCCCTGGACACCCAACAGTGCTCCACCACTCTCCAGTGTATCAGCAACCTCATGCAGGCAGACGAGGCACTGCTACTGGAGGCACAACGGATGTATAACTCCGTATCAATGTATGTATGATTCCGTTTTAATACATTCATAACTCTGTATCAATGTATGTATAACTCCGTATCAATGTATGTATAACTCCGTATCAATGTATGTATAACTCCGTATCAAGGTATGTATAACTCCGTTTCAATACATTTGTAACTCCTTTCAATGTATATATAACTCAAGGCATCAAGGCATGTATAACTTCGTTTCAATGTATGTATAACTCCGTATCAATACATTTGTAACTCCGTATGAATGTATGTATAACTCCGTATCGATGTGTGAATGACTCCGTATCGATGTATGTAGAACTTAGTATCAATGGATATATAACTACGTATCAATGTATGTATAACTACGTATCAATGTATGTATAAATCCGAATCAATGTGTGCATATTTCAGTATCAATATAATGTATGTATAACTACGTATCAATGTACGTATACCTCCGTATCAATGTATGTATAACTCCGTATCAATATAAATCCGTATTCATGCACCTATAACTTCTTATCAATGCATGACAACTCCGTACAAATGTGCGTATATTTTACATTTCTCCAAGATGTCGGGTGTTGCCTAGGGATGTGACCGATTAATTTCTGTGCCGTTTTTCAGGCTCATGAGCGTGATGGAGCCAGTAACCTTCAACACGATGTTTGACGGTGACACATTCGTCACGACAGCGGGAGATATCGCCATAGGTCTGGGGGTGTTCCAGACGGTACGGTTCCCCGGCGCCGCCTTCGTCAAACAGTCAACGGACGACAGGCGGTCTTACCAGTCTGATCAGGTAGGAGGGAAATCATTCTTTGATGAATAAAGACCGCGAAACCTGCTTGTACATGGTTGCAACGAGGAGTTAGAGAGGCAATGTATGAAAGAATGTACAACGGTACAACCCCACCCTCAACAGGGAAGGGGGGCTACGGGTAGAACTCTCAGGCACTTGAAATTTGGCGCTCCCAGCCCCAAGAACAGACAACACGTAAGCTCCTGTTCTGAGACAACAGGAGCTATTTCACTAGTTTGCATCATCCTAGCTTGTCTTGACTAACTTTGGTTTCATTTTGGACTTTCAAAAATTTGTCTTATAAACCTGCTTTTCCTGACAATTCTCCAGTGTCACCGACGAAAGATAGTGGATGGTCTAAAACGTCTGACCGTTTCCAAAAACATATCCGGCTGCTTGAGTAAATGTTTTCTTTTTGCCTTTTTGCTATCCAGTTTAGTTTTTCTGTTATTCAGCAACTATATGCTATCAGTTATTGACGTCATTGAGAAGATGCTAATTGATGATTAATTTCTTTTTTTTTCGTTCTGCAGGAATTTGAGATCTTTTTGAACGATGTGTCCAGCGAAGATTTAGGAGGCTTCAGTTCGATAAAGCTTCCCACGACTCTCCTGGACAGGGTGATCCTGTCAGAACCACCGACCGTGCAGTTCACGTTCTACAGAAGTGGCAGAATGTTCGACGTAAGTCTACGGTCGTATGTGTCCTTTGTGTGTGTGTGTGTGTGACATATTTGGGTCAAAACGTTGAAGTACATGCCTTTATTCAAAACCAGAAATCTTCAATATGCCCCTAGCATGCTCTACTCAGATATCAGCATACGTAGAAAAATTCATATCCGAATCGCTATAAAAACGACACCGTATTGTAAATAACTGACCTATCTCCTGAACTATACAATATAATATAATATAATATAATATAATATAATATAATATAATATAATATAATATAATATAATATAATATAATATAATATAATATAATATAATATAATATAATATAATATAAAATAATACTATCCTCAAGAAATACATGGAATAGATTAGCTTTGGTAGAATTGAAATGTAGTATAGCTAGTATGGATTAACTCTGTTAGAAGTGTATTTTAGTATAGTTCGTGTATCTATCCTTGTTGTTTTTTCTCTGTTATAGTTGTTAAGCAATAAAGTTGATTAGATTTTTACCTTTTTAACGGGTTTTGGTGCAAAGCCTCATTGGCCACTGCTCACTGCAGCAACATCCCCGAGTCAGAAACATTAGACTTAGGCAAGTTTGACTAACTAACTCAAAAGGTGAAGCAGGGGGTACGAAGGCTGCACGGGAAATTCCCTACCCTATTTGAGGGCGTCGAAACAAAAATATTATGGGTGTTGACTAAATCTAAAATTGCTTTTTTGCTAAAATTTTCGTCAAAATTTAATACTTAAAGCGCCCAAATAGCCCAGCTATGCGAGGCGTCCCTTTATTTTTGGTACCAGCAATAAATATCTATGTCAGTACTTATGTACATTCGTCTACACATGTTTCAAGAAGAGAAAAGAAGCATGTAAATAGGAATAGTTAAAACATTGTATAGTTTCCCTCTTACTTACGGCTTGTTGGTAACTGGTTTTACCGTTGTGCAGCTTGTGAGCCAGGCGGATGGGAACTCTTCCTTCAGTATGATGAAGCTTCAGGTTCCCATCATCTCGGCCACGGTGGGAGGGATGCACGTGTCCAACCTGTACCATCCCGTACAGGTCAACTTCCGCAGACTCATAACGGTTAGTACCTTATCAGTTCAGTTCTTTCATCCTTATGGTGACGCCATGTACTAGCTACACTGCGCACTGATTGGTTAATCATGAATAACGTCAGATCTCCTACCATATAAGTACAAGACCGAACCACCTATCTGCCACTTTGTTGGAGACATCCGCACAGCCGAAGAGCGCGGGGAGGCCGACCCAACTGGGTAACGGGAGCATGGTATTTTCCCATATATGCAAATATAATTCATTAATATATGCAAGATGCTCCCGTTACCCCCAACTGTAACATGATACTTCTTGGAAAATGGGAGGGTTTTTAAAAGGAAAGTTCAGTTAAACCCACTCGTGTACATGTTCATGTACAGGATAGCTTACAGGGGCCTGGCGTTACCGCGCGACTTCGGCACTGCCCCATAACTTATATGACAAATGAAGGATGATCCAATAGGTGCGCAGTGTAGATAGAAGACTGCCTCCACAAGTTCCTGTTTCGTACCACAAGTATCTTATAGCAATAATTATATCGACTAACGTTTATGAATAAAGACTGTTTGTTTTATGTGTAAAATTTACTTCAATGACATTTATTATTATCATTGTTAGATGGCAAATATTAGGAAGGCAAGTAGTTAGAAGTGAATCCAAATAGCTGTTGTATTTATGTATGTATTTTACGTAAGAGGACTCCAGGAAGAGTAGTGGCTGTATTGTTACTAATGGGAGATTCCTTAACAAACAAACAAACAAACAAACAAACAAACAAACAAAAGTGTCGCATTTGAGATTCTTCCAATTGACGTTTGCTTGCAGGAATCAATTTTCACTAGTTAATGTGCACAATTTCTAGCTGTAGGTGCCCTCCCCACTTCACGAATATACGACTGTTGTCTCGTTGGATACGTTTCAAATCATATGAATTTATTCATTTGTTTCTTTATGTCGCTGACAGGGCACTCCAATATGTGTGTTCTGGGACACGTCAGCAACTGGTAAGTACACCATCTGCTATGATAATTCATACACCGGTACTCAATATGTTTATTAATTAATCATAAGGAGTTACAAGCCAACTTAGGTAGATATCCACTTCCCAATATAAAGTTAACTAGGAAGGCCAACGTCATTGCAGTGGACCTAATATTCTCTGTGCATCTCGTACTTAGACTGGTCAAGAGAAGGATGTAGACTGGCGAGTGACCAACATGACATCATTACCTGCGAGTGCAATCATCTCACCAACTTTGCCGTCCTCATGGTACGTTCCAGATGTATCTTTTAGTAGCGATAAAACTGAACATTACAGTAGTATGGGCAGTTTACTAGCTCTCTCTAAGAGGTCATTATGATTAGATATTTTTTTATTTATATTTTGAGTCATAGAGATGTTTAAGCGTAGTAATTAGGTGTTACGTAGCTTCTACCAGGCTTCTGAACGTCTGGAAATTTGAGTAGAAACTGGGCCAAATAGACAGATAACATGCCAGAGGAGTCGACCCGCTAAAGGGGTACAGTTTGCTTGTAACTCTACTCCTTTAGCAGACCGTCAGCCTGCATGATGTCTCTACTCTTTCCTGCCGCTTCTGAAGCCTGACAGAGGCTACATTTGTAGGTGTTACGCTGAAGGCCATGAAATAGACCACCCAATTCTCCTCAACCGAGGACCAGCATGTCATGTATTGCTAAAAAGATGACTCACATAAAACACACTTTTCATGACCTCCTGCAACCTCGGCGCCATTAAGCACTGTGTTGATAGCTTTGATCTCGTATAATCTCTGCTCTGTTGACATGTCCCGGACCACTTCAGTGATTGCAAAGGCGCCAATCATTACAACGAGTCAGTTACAAGTGTCAGGCAGAAAGATTGTTTTGGGTTCAGGTCGCGATGGGACAGTATAGGCAGGTAAACGCAGCAGCGATTCTGGCCATTAGCTGTGAATTCAACAGCCCTTTTAGGCCTGTGTGGTCATGAAACGGTTGAGATGACGCATTCGGTAGAATTTGCATGACGATCCACAAACTTTCATCCCTCGAGAGCGCCATTGTAGAATTTGGCAAGTATTTCGTGTTTACTGAGCCTCAATGAGGCAATGAGGGGAAGAGCTCGTCCGTTGCTCTTTTTTTTCAATAAGCCAAAAGGTAACATCCATAACATTAGTTCGTTTGGTAGGACGTCAACAATTTTCGTGATCAAGTTTACGATGAATTGTGACTGTACCTGTACTTCTACCTAGTTCAGAAAGATATATGACACTATAAAATTCACTTTGCAGGGATATAAGAGCACTGGACTCACGAATATATAAAAAAATTGCAAGCAACTAGAAAGGAAAAATACAGTGTGAGGAAGATGGTCTCTGTTAACAGATTTTATTCAGTTTGATTTCAATGACAGGCTTCGCGTCAAATATTCCGTCGTAACAACAAGGCGCTAGTGTTATTCTACATTTTAAAGCTCAAACACACAATGGCACTATTGAAAAGGGCAATAATCATTCATATCAAAATGTTAGTGTTGGTGTGGTACCAAAAATAAGGTTTTGTGCTATGTATGATAAATCAATATTGCAAAATGAATGATACTCCAACAAATACATGTACATGCAGCAACAGATTCTGCGCTTATTCAATGAAATATATTGTAGGAGGTTTACAAACTATTCATGAGCAAATGTAACCCTCGAACACGCACTGAACGTTCTGCTGACGTTCAGCCGAATACCAGCCAACCATGGCTGATCCTCCTGATCGACCCTCAAATGTTTAAAACATTTTGAAACATTTGGCTAGCACAGCCGAATAGTATAGAAGCCAACCTCACCGAACACCAGCCGGCTCTGCGCATCCTAAACCACGGTTGTGGGGTGTTCCGCTAGTGTTCGAGAGGCCAATTGTAAATTCGTGAATGTGTGACTAGGGCTTTACCGTTGCTGTGGTAGTGTCATCATTGTTAGTTTTCCTCTTCACTGTTGTCCTCTTCGTCACCTTCGCCGCCGTCGATGTCTTCTTCACTTGTAGCACCGTCAGTACTGTCCCCCTCACTGTCCTCATTGTCTTTGATGTTCAAGTCTGCTACTTCTGCCAAGTCATCGTCAACAACACTGGCGATATCGATCTCGGCAGTCCCGTTAGAAACAACGACCTTGTCCGCTTTCTCTATCTCGTCGAGTTTGATGGCCTGCCCCTTACTTATGTTTTTGAGCGCGAGACTGATGCCGGCAGCTGAAGGGCGTAGGGCAGGGTCGTAGTCGAGCATGTTTAGGATAAGTGCTTTCATGGAACTGCCGGGCGGTAGAGTCGTCACCAGACCTTCCTCAATGTCCTGCAGCGTGGTCGACTTCAAGGCGTCGGCGAGTCTTCCTCTTGACCCGACGCAAGCCACGAGGAACGTTCCCTCTGAGTTGTAGGAGGATCGATCAACAACGGCAGCAAAGATGACGCCCATGGAAAATATGTCGCTACCTTTTGTGGACTGTCCCTCGTCTACTTCCGGAGCCATGAAGTGGCTAGTGCCAGGTTGTTCGTCGCTGGTACACATGGCCGAGCTCCATTTCAGATCCCCGAGGACTTTAGCGATGCCGAAGTCACTGATCTTCGGCACTGGGTTCCGTCGCGTGCCGGAGAGGAGTACGTTCATCGGTTTCAGGTTCTGGTGCTGAAGATCAGCGATGTCGTGTAGATGGGCGAGCCCGTCGGCTACTCCGACCATAAGACCTGTGCTCAGGCTGCAGTCGTAAGAAGGATGTAGTACGAGGTTGTTGAGATTTCCTAAAGGACAATGTTCCATGACGGCCCAAAGCTTCTCCTGTGAGGAAAACGAGTGAAAGAAGAGAACCAGGTTGTCATGCTCCAAAGATAGAACACCGAGCAGTTTCCGAAGCTCCACGGCGGCTTTAGAAGCGCGTTTCTGTAGCCGCTTCTTCTCCTGGTCGCTCACGTAAACTTTCAGCTTCAGCTTTTCAGAGGTTTCAGCATCACTTTGCATCAAGTCGATCGACTTCAGGACATACGTCTGTCCGCCTTTAGTTGCCTTATATACGGCACTGCAAGCTCCTGTCCCCAGCTTGTCCTCAAAACTGTACCCCTTCACGCCGCTTTGTGCCGAGTCGGCCATGTCAGCCGGCCGCTTAAACTCAACCTAGAAAAAAGAATGCGAGCACACAGGTTCCCCCAAGACTACTGTGTTCTTCAAAAGAGTCTGTTGTCCTTGAGAAGCACTTAGGTTGTGTGTTACTATCAGGAACAACATAGCAACCATGTCATTGATATCAGACCATGCGTACTGAAAGGATAGGTCAACTATAAATCAGTTTTGTAAAGTAACTTGTAGAAAAATATTTTTGTTAGCCCACGTCTGTTTCGCGCCACTACCGAGAGGAACACGCAGCATAGAAATACGACTGTCTTTTGTTTCCACGAGACAAAAGCAAATGGCTGGCTCAGGACATTTTCTTCTTTGATAAGCAAGAAGATTGTACATTTTGTACATACCACAGCTTTACTTTTTCTTTTTGCTATATTTTGTGTTTGCACCACCATCACCGCTCGCTCCAGGGCACTGACCCCCTGGACGTTAAACCCCGTGAGGGGTATTGTCCAGTACTGTGTAGATGTAAAACTGTGACACCATTTCTCTATTTCAACCAAATGGATAGTTACTGAACTGGTAAGAGTTTTTGTCTGGTAATCTCACAAAAAGAGATGACATAGTTATATGTTTGGGCACTATTCATCGGACTACCTTCTTAAATATACGGTAAGAAAATAAAACATCAGTTTATGCAAGCCGCTCAAGGTTCTACAGCTCCATATTATTTTTTTTTCAGGATATCTATGGTAACATAGACAACATATCGGACGCAGATCTGACAGCCTTAATGATAATCTCTTACGTGGGATGTGCCATCTCCATGTTCGGGATAGCTGCGACTCTACTCACCTACTCTCTCTTCAGGTAATTATTAGTAATTGATGCATAGAATATGGTTTCATTGTACTTAGTATAAAGTGGTGTCATTGTACTTAGTATAAAGTAATTTGGGTAACATAATGGAAAAGTGAAAATAAAAAATATGTCAACAACTAGAAAGATAACATTTGCGAAGCAAATACATAATGTTTGCCTTCACATGGTCTAGCCTAACTAAACTACTGCTCTGTTTATTCTTACTCAAACACATTAATCATTAATCAGTTTGAAGTTAAACTTTCGATCCAACACAAAGAATGGCTCTCACCTAGTCACTCTGGTCTTGATTGACCCAGTGAGGCTTGTCACGTGGCTTCTCTGAAGTGTGATGTTAACGCCGGGTCAAAGGTATCTGGTAAACGATGTCGGCCCCCGTCGTGGTTGAGTTAAGGGTGATGGGCTCTGATGTAAATAGCCCGCCCATCTCAGGAAGTAGTCTTGTCCTACTCTCCAAGCAGAGGTTTGGGTTTGGGGTTATTTTTTTAGCGTGCTTTTCGGCTTTTTTATAAAAACAAAAAATTCAGTGCAAAAGAGAAACCCCGATAAAAAAGCCTAAAACACGCTAAAAATAACCCCAAACCCAAACCTCTGCTTGGAGAGTAGTCTTGTCCGGTTTTTACAGTGTCCATACCTTACTTCTGTTAATAGGAAGCTCCGGAGAGACAACCCCACCAAGATCCTGATGAACCTGTGTCTCGCACTGCTCCTGGCCATCCTCTTCTTCGTCTGTTCTGGGCCTGCGCACAACAGCGGCAGCCGAGGCGCATGCGTGACTGTGGCAGTGCTGCTGCACTACTTCCTGTTGACCTCCATGGCGTGGATGGGGCTGGAGGCGCTCAACCTGTACCTCGCCATCATGAAGGTCTTCAACACGTACTACAGGCACTTCATGCTCAAGTTCTGCATCGCTGGCTGGGGTGAGTTGGTTTAAGTATTTTTGGAAGTTAGAACCTCTTTGTGTCACTAAGTTCCATCCAGCACCTAAGGTGCATATGGCGGCGCTGGTCTCTGTTTCTGTAGCCCTTAGGCCACACAGTTGTGCAATCACTGCAGTAAGTGTTGTCCACTGGTACTAGTGTGTGTTGTGTATGTACCATTTAAAAGTACTGACGACTTAACGGATACAAGGCGACTCTACCTACTTGGCCATTGCACTGGGTTATTGTATGTTCCTATGGTTTCACACTCTAATGTGAATGCTTCTTATCCTACAGGTAGTCCGGCTGTTATTGTTGCCATTACTTTGGCGGTTAACGTCGAGAACTACACCCAGTATGGAGGGATGTAAGTATTGTACATTGCGATCATTATATATTGTAATCCTAAAAGCCGCACAGGTAGACCAGGGACACTGCAAACTGATTGTCTAATTATCCAAGTTGACAATTTCTGGCTGTCTTTTTAAGCAAATATGAATATATCATTTAAATCTTAAGACTCTGGTCGGGATCTCTGCCGATTCTATGTTATTATGAAAGTTCACCGTGGTGGTAGTTACGTGTTTCAAGTTAACACTTTTGATCCAACGCAAAGAATTGTTCTCACCTAGAGCTTTACTTTTGACCAGTCACTCTGGTCTTCTTCAATAGATGACCCAGTGAGACTTGTTATGTGGTATATTTGAAGTGTGACGTCAACGCTGGGTCAAATGTACCCCGAAAACGATGTCGGTCCCCGTCGACGTGGCAGTTTAGTGATGGGTGATCGGCCCTGATGTAAATATCGTAGTCTATTGAATTGAGTGACTTATCGATAGCTTTAGGTGAGAACAATCCCTATTGTTGAGCAGAACTTTAAACATATCCTAATGTTAAATATCCACACAGTTGCTGGCTCCAGCCTAACGCGTTCTACGGAGCGTTCCTGGCGCCGGTGTGCCTGGTCCTCCTGCTGAACTGTGTCATGTTCGGGCTGGTCATCCGACAGCTGGTGGGAGGGGCAGCTAACGAGTTCAAGAAGGCCGACAAAGTGGAGACAACGACGAAGCTAAGGTGGGTTGAGAGATGACCTGCCTCCCGATACGGATGATGGTGAACTTCCGTCAGCCATTCCGTCAGTAATACCGGCCTTTGGCCGTGGATGTCATCGTTAGGCCATGTTGATTTGATTATATGGATGACATCCTGTGGGAACCCCAAAACTGACGCGAGCGTGCGAAAAAAAGTTCCTTCATTATGAAAACTACGTAGTCATAAATGTTGAACAAATGACTAAACACACAGAGTATGGTATGGCGAATAATAGAATCTTTATTTTCTTTTCTTCGCATTTCCTTCTTTTCCTGAATTGATTCAATGACATTAGTATCGTTTTCCAATACGTTTTCTTTTGCAACATACGACATATATTCGCTCATATCGTACGATTTACAGTATGGTCGTTAAACTTTTTTTGGAAACGGACGAAAATTCATGCGCACCTTATGGTGATGAAATAAACGGCCATTCCAACACATTCACGGTCCTCTGGTATACGTGTGATACGGAATAAAAATGGACTGGAAGTGTAGATTAATGACGTGGGGATAACCCAGTGACTGAAAATATGATTGAGACTGGTGAAGTACATCATAAGTAGAGGAAAATAAAGCACAAAATATAATAAATCCCTACACCACTTTGCGGATTACTTTGTTGATATCTGGCACAAACCTTGCATGAAAGAATGAAAGTATATGTCTTCTTTCCACATTAGGGGTGCGATTGGACTGGTCATCCTCTTAGGACTAACTTGGGTGCTGGCCATCTTCGCTATAGCTGAAGCTAGTCTCACATTCAGCTACCTGTTTGCCATCGTCAACTCTCTTCAAGGTGAGGCAATTTCTAATACACACGTAGTAGCGCAAAGTGTTCCTTAATAGATCATTTTGTTACCCTCCATGCAAGCAGAGGTTTAGGCTTTCATTTTGTTCTGGTGTCTTCTTTTTCCGCCAACCAAACGGGTAGCAAATGGTAACTGCCTAGCAAATGGATACTGTCTGGCGAATTTGACACTGACTTTGTAGCCACCAGAAGATCTGATTGGAGGTAAACATTTTGTACCACCTAAACACGTTTTTTTACCAAACACTACAGTTTAAAATAAATTCAAAAATTCTCTCTCGCTCTCTTTTCTGCAACAGGGATGTTCATCTTCGTGTTCCACTGTGTTCTGAAGAAGGACGTCCAGAACCATTGGATGACGATACTGCCATGTGGGCCTAAAGGCAGACCTGGGACTCCTGGAAGTGGTACGAACGAACAAGTAGCATTCCTTTCCATTGTATCACTTGAATGCTTGATAACATAATTGTTTCCTCAATTCCATGCAACGACACACAACTACAGTATTGCATGTATCAATTCCGTACATCAAGGACATTATACAGAAGTATAATGTTCTATGACCTTTCGTCGTAACACAGTAGCTTCGCGGCAAGCTTACTTGTTACGCCTAGCCTTTGCACATCTAACTTTAAGCATCGTTTAAATTCTAGTACTTGAAGACATCTACTTATTGTTCTTTTTTGAGCTAGGAACAATGTAACAGAACAAGTGAGATTCCTCAAGTGTTTTTCAAATCTATTCCAGCATGGACGGGGTCCAAGTCCATGTCTACTCCAAGCCAGCTGCACAGAAGTTCCCGTGTGTCTGACATCAACATTAAAGCCTTCCATGCCATGACAATAGAGGATGCAGGTGGGTCAAATAGTAGGTCACTGTAGTACATGCTACTTCAAACGGATATCATCCCTGCAAAGAAATGATGACTAGATACCAGTTAAGTAAAATATGCACTGAGGATGTTATTCTGTTGTCACTTGGAGTAATGAATATAACTGCCTGTAGGCAGATAATGGCGAAAAAAAAAATAACCGGGGCCAAGATGGAAATAGCCATGGGTGGCGTATGTATGATAAATAATTTATCCCCTTGAATTGGACTTAGCTCTCTCTAATGGAGAAGAGATATTTTTGTCATGCCTTATTAGCGGTTCTATATATTAATTCAGCTTGTCTTTCCCTCCACCCAATCATCGAACGAACGGACGAACGGACGAACAAACGAACGATGGAACGCGATACTCGGCACAAAGCTGGGGGCCTTGTGGGCCCTGACAAAAAAGTCCAACAGCCAAAAATATACTGTTTTGTCGTTTTATTTATCTATTGGTTTATTTGTATCAACAGCAACATATCTAGCAGCCTTGTTTTTTTACAACATAAAACATTAATTAATAGTAGGGTAATACAAATTACAATCATGTCGGAATCTTCAGATTGATATAATATTACTTTGGTTCAACGAATTTAGATATTTAAAATGATGCCTTATTTTACTCAAGGTTATAACATACATGTAGAAGAATAGTCATCATAAATAAATAAATGAATAATAAATGAATAAATGTGTCTTTTTCTACAGATGACTTCAACTCCATAGGTCAGGGTGGTTCAGACAATGCTGATGACGTGTCGGACAGTGGTTCCAGGCCGACCACTGCGTCTGGCATCCGGCTGGACACGTCTTTCCGCACCGTAGACTTCCAGGCGTACACTCATCCGCCAATCACAGACTACTGCAACCCTCCCTCCCCCATCCCCGAAGCCTCGCGAGAATGCTCAGACGAGAGCACGTCGGTGTACGATATAGAAACGATAAACGACATCTCAGAAGCTTAGGTCTTTTGTATAGGCTGCAGTGCAGGCGACTTTTACCAGTTTCATTTGGAATTCACAAAAATATAAATTAAGTACCATGTAACATTTCCATTGTCATTTTTTTAAATATATGTATATGAGACACAGTCACTTGCTGTTGACTTCTATTATAGTATTAAAGATCTATTTCAGTGGCTGTTTTAATGTTGGGATCCCATATGCCAGTGTATGGACTTCTATTCTAAATCTATTTTCTGGAATTGCTTTCTTTATATGTTATGTCATTTTGACTCCTTTTATACACTGTGTAACAGTACAAATGTTTAGCTTTAGGAATCAACATTGTCCATTTTCCTATACAGACAATACAGTATATTGAATGTGGTTATTTGTGTTCTGTACTGCACCGTAGTTGAGCCAAAGGCTATAATGATGTTATGACTCAGGTTGATGGTCCAACCTTAGAATTAGATAGCGAGGACAGGACTGCAAATGTCTGGAACATTTTGCTCGGCAGTCAGCAATAGGGACAAGTTTGCAATTTGTTGCTTTGGGACTGGTTATTTGAAGAAAATAATGTAACTGTATTATCAGGTGTAAGTTTGCTGGTATATGTTGGCTGCTATGCTGACAATTGAGCGAGCATCTCACCACAAGGAATATCACCCAACTGCCAAAAAATGCATTATTCCTAAATATCCTAGCCCATATTTTTTTACCCCAAACATAACAGTATGGATGGCTGTGCCAATGATACTGTCTGTTTGCCAGAACTCAGCAATGTGTAGGCCATATGACAAATGTACAGTACACAACTTAAAGATAGATAACAGTTTACTTAACTGTTACTAGCATCTACATGTATAAGGCTAGTATTTGATATATCTTTCTGAATGACATTACCAAACTGAATAACTGTGTAATGCTTTAAGGCAGATTTTACATGTACATTAAAAATCTTTAACATTTTAGTAATGAAGAACTATGTTGCAATTTAGGCCAAGGTTGAGCATTTAAGTTCAGGTTGATGTACCTAAAGTATGATCTATTGTCTGTACAAGTTGAGGCTGATTTCTAGTTGAAGGCAACTGAAAGCTCATAAAAACACTTCATGTTCAATATTGTAGTACATGTACATTCTTTTCCTCCAGCAATACCATAGGTACTCAATGTTTCAATATGACCATTTTGTAATATGAATGTAAGAATGAACGTTTCAGCTTGTAAATACAAACACTTGTAAAATAGTGATTTGCAGAAAAGATAGCAGATCAAATTCTTCTGCAATAGATGTTATGTTTTCCAATATTGATGAAGTACATACATGGACGTTTTTACAGATGAAAGTGAGAAGACTTTATATGGTTTCTATAATTACATATTCTTTCAAATAAAGATAGGTGTTATATCTTAACGAATCACAAACAAACAAACAAACAAATCACAGACATGTATATACAGATTTAGGTACATTTATACAATCGTGTTAAGTATAAGGTATACCTAAACACCTGCCATAATACGATATCTTTATGGACAGTTGGTAATCAGAGTTGTACAGTTGGAGTGACTGTGTAAGTAAACCAGGACATCTTTTGGGCTTCGTCAGCATGTGTTTGTAATGACATGTGTGCAGTGAAACAAACAAATAAATACAGGTTGCCAGAAGAAGAAACAACTAGAATTCCACGATCTCATACCTTCGCCAAATGCCTTGACGAATGTTAACGATTCGCATTTATTATGCTAATTAGGCATTTATTTGCATAAACACTATCTGCCAATGTTCTTCTTCACAATTACACATGCCACGTGTTTAAATAATCATATCATGGAAGGTAGCAGATTTATAGCATTTCCTCATTAATTATGCTAATTAGCTGCTGATTTGCATAACCATCATTTTAATATGTCAAACATTCGTTAAGGTACCCACATACCAAAAATCATGATGATCCGTCAATTGGTTCGTCAGTTATCCTCCTTCGAATATTTTACAACAAATGCTTCTGCAGTTCCAGAACAAGCCGCTAGGGGGCCCAAACTCATGTCATTTCTTCCCCAGCCAAAGAGCTACCTACCATCCAAATTGAGTGACCCTACCATGTCCTGACCACAAAATAACAAAACCGGAAGTTCAGCTGCATTACCATAACAAGCCACCAGGGGGTCCAAAATCTAATCGGTTCGAAGTCTCATCAAGACCTACCCACTTACCAAATATAAAGACAATCCATCTTAGCCTTCTTGAGTTATCGTGTTCACACACACACAGACACACGAACGCCAACGAAAACATAACCTTCTTGGCGAAGGTAGATATTCTGGATATGTTTAATCATTATATTTCAGTCCATACCATGGTATGGATGAAATATATTGTGTTCTCTGATGTTTCTTCTCCTCCTCCTCCTGCCAAACACTCAAAGGGATTCAACTCCGCCATCATTCAGCCAAATGACTTGAAATTTGGCATGGAGGTAGAGTGGGCGAATACCCCCAGGCGTTTTTTTCATTTTTTTGATACATGCCTTTGAAAAATTTTTATAAAGGTTTTTTGGGGCATTTTTCGCCAAAAAATGGATTTTTGGATCCTGAGCCCTGGTTTTACAACCAAATGATCTGAAATTCGGTATAAAGGTACCTTGAAGATGTGTCTTCAGAATAGCAGTCACATATTTGGCATACACCACTTCCAAATGACTCATTTGGGGGACTTCAATGGCTATTTTCAGCAAAAAAAAGGGCCAAAAGTGCTATACCCGTTCCATGTTCTATCTAAAGAATGGCCTGTTCCATCTGCCGTTGGCCATGGAACATGTGTTCCATAGCGGGTTACCTGAGGTCACATTGCACGTAAGTCGTGCGTAATGACCCACACATTCAATTTTATGTGCCTAAGACCTTCAAAATGTATCAAATCTCATCATTGTTAGTATTTGCATACCTGTAATAAGACTAGTAAAGCTTTCGAGATTCAATGTGCTTGCTCTTGCATCTTTGTTCTCAATTACATAGCTACTATATAATTCATTTATTTGAGAATCTTTGCCAGTTTTACACTGGGGTAAGTTTGGAATAGTCCACTTTTGCGTGGGAGGGAGATGGACTGAAATATGCTGTATTTGCTCCCAAGCAAATGTCGGCCTCTCTAGTTGGCATCCTTTTAACAATATTCAACACTGATGGATCATTGATTTCCCTTTAATTAGGGCCCTTGAAGTGTGATCATTCACCTCGTTTTCCAAGCTAAAATATGTTAAAATCCACAATTTTACGATCCCTAAAACCCTAATTTCGTCGATCTCTAAGATCTCGATCTCCCAGGTTGAGCAGTAGGGACTTGGGGGGCGCATTCGCCGTTCCCAGGCGGGCGAACGGGCAAGTCCCTGAGTGCGACCAATGGTTGAGCGACGTTGAGCAAGTTGAGTGCTCAACGGACCAATCATTGAGCCACGTTGAGCACTCAACATTGCTCAACAGACGAATCAGGTAGCGCGACGCCATTACGTCAGAGTTCAAGCCGGGGTCACCTCTCAAAATGGCGGCCTTCTTGAATCGGCGATCGAAGCGAGACACATTTTCTGCCATCGCGTCGCTCAGGTAAGGTCAATCTTCTTGGTTTTGGTGTCATTTTGTAGGGAATTTGGCGGCGCTCAAGGCCACCTAGTTTGAATTTTTGCCGCGTCTCTAGATTTTGTGAAATTTGACATCTTTCTTCGTGGAAAGTCCCATTGTTTATGAATGGGGATTTGGGCTTGTTACTCTGTAATTTTAGCGAAAGTCATCACGCTGTAATTTTGCTCAGGTAAGTCCAATCTTCTCCATTCTTGGCTCTTTTTAAATGTCATTTGGTTGTGCACGAAGATGTCTAGGTGTGGATGTTTCACTGGCGATTGATTTTCTGAAAAACGTCAACGTCTATCGTCCAAAATACCATAGTTAAGAGATGCTGATTGGGGTGGTACTATGAATGTGAACAGAATTGCCAATAATATGAGGTAAGTTTCACTTAGATTGTTATCAATGGCATGCTGCAGATTTGTGAAAATATTGAAAAAGCCTCTGTGTAAATGAAGTACGTGTGTGGCTTGTTGTTAATGCAATTTGAAACGGATTCTTAGGGTGTATTATGTTATGTATATGTACATGTATTATATTCATGCTTTTATTGTATTCATCTTATAAACAAGAGGGTGGTCCCTTCAGTCATTTAGACTGATTTCCATGCGAGCCCATGCTGATATTGTATATAAGCAAAAATGTTCAATAGTTGCATGTCTATTGACAGCCTCTTAGTAGTTTGACAACTGATAGATTTTAGACCTATACACAAACTGAACTGCACCATGTAGTCATTGTAATATTAAGTACATGTTTTAACTATCTGCTTCTTTGTCCTTTTACAGTGGAGTTAAACCTGACCCTGCACACGAAGCTTCACGCCCCAAACCCGAAGGAGTATACGTGTGATGTGTGAGGACACATGGACAGCCACCACAAGCTGCACCAGTATACAACAAATGGACAGCTACCGTAACAGCCACCATATCCTGCAACAGTATACAGCACATAGACAGACACCGTAACAGCCACCATAACCTGCAACAGAACTTATACAACACATGGACAGCCACCGTAACAGCCATAATAACCTGCAACAGCATACAACACAAGGACAGTCACCATAACAGCCACCATAACCTGCTTTAGTACTTACACAACACATGGACAGCACTGTAATAGTCACCCTAACCTGCAACAGCATACAACGCATGATGGACAGCCACCGTAACAGCCATCATAACCTGCTATAGTACTTACACAACACCTGGACAGCACTGTGATAGCCACCCTAACCTGCAACAACATACAACGCATGGACAGTCACCGTAACATCCACCATAACCTGCAACAGCATATAACGCTTGGACAGTCACCATAACAGCCACCATAACCAGTTATAGTACTTACACAGCACATGGACAGCACTGTAATAGCCACCCTAACCTACAACAGCATACAATGCATGGACAGTCACCGTAACAGCCATCATAACCTGCTATAGTACTTACACAACACATGGACAGCACTGTGATAG